CTGGAACAGTAACCTTTCCAATACTTTCTTCTTCCTTGTGGCTGCACTATGAAATTAATTGATGTGTTTGCCTGTTGAATCTAATTTTGCAGTTGATCATAAAATACTAGTATTTGAAAAATCCATTTTTGTTCTGTTGAGGTACTCGAAGACTGAGCTCCTCTTTGTCTGGTTTTAAGTTACTTACATGTTTCTTTATTTTCACTTTTTAGGAAATGAATAGTGAGTGTGATTTCTAATGTTTTTCAGTTTAGAGTTGTACCACAATTGAGTTCATTTAGAGACTGGAATGTAGAAATTTGTACTAAATACTAGTGACTGAATGTTACAAGTAAAAGAGTTTGTCCATTAAAATTGGTAGCAAAATTCCAATTAACTTTTCTAAGTCCAATATGTTATAATATAACATCTTCAAAGTTAGTTATTTGCTTTAATTTTAATGCTTTTTAAAAAATTATGGGTTTGTGATGTAAACTTCTCTTTTGGTTGTTTTATTTCTTGCTGTGGCTTTTGACTCATCGCCATTGCAAAAGAGAGCCAGACAGTAGCCACTATTTAACCGTTTAAGATTTTTCTGATGACTTTTTTTCAGTAGGAATTCAGACGTTTAATTGTGGATTTTTATCCCAACCACCAGGGTTTTCTGTGACATTCGTCATATCAGACGCCAACCCTTCATTAGTATCGGCTTTCATAACCAACCGATTTTTAAGCTCTGGTGAGTGCAAAGGGTGGCTTGAAAAAGCAAAGTGCGTTGTGCTGTGCTGGGTCAGAGTGGCTGATCCATTGATTTGCAAACAGCTCTCATCACGTCTGGCCGGGGAGGTCTGCTCCTCGAGAACAGGCAGTTTGTGGAAGTGGGGAAGTGATACGGTTTTTATATCCCCCATTCTGGGCAGGGCTTGATTTGGTCTTCGTTAGGGCAAGATTTGGGGAAGGACTAGAGGGCAAGAGTTTTTCCTAAGAATTGCAAATATTCAGCTTTCCTTAGAAAGATAAATAAGGCTGGATGTTGGGCTTCAGGTTTGGTGATCAAAGCTCAGAGAAGAGCTTCAGCAAGTAATTTGAAAATAATCCGTTTTCTTGACATTTGTTATGCAAGGTACTAGTAAGCAAAAACCCAGTCTTCATGTCAGTTCTTATGGGTTTCAGTAGGGCCAAGATTCAAGTGCCTCAGCAACATGAGAGAGTAGAGGACTGAACTCGTGGCTTTAATGCAGTGATTTCCACGAAGGATGAAAGCTGTGACTCACAACAAGTTCAGAAGAGGTTTTGTTCTTTTGCAATCCATTTCATGAAATCAGCGTATGTGTCAAGGTTTTATTGGTTTGCTGTAGCAGTAAGTTGTGGTACTCACACTTAGTATAGAAGATGGAAGTTGACCTCCTGAAATGAGAGGAAAGAAATAATAGTTTCTGATTCAATGGTATCTGTTGCCAAAGGAAGCCAAAAATATTTTCTTTTGTACTTAGAGGGTAAGGGTGCTCTGAGATCTTCAGATGCAAAAGTTTCTGCAAAACCTTGCTAATTGCTGTGGCTAATTTGCAAAGCGTCCCAGCACCAGCACGAAACAAAGAGAAAGCTGGACTAGGTGCTGCATCTTAACCGTCCTTCTCTCCCAGGGCAGCCCAACAGCGGGGAGCCCACGGGAGTCTGCCTGGTCAGAGCACATTCTGGATCTTAGGTTCGGTTTAAATGCCTGCTGTGAACTACAGCAGTGCGCTGAGGTGTTCGTCAGGGATCTGAGGGAGGGTTCCTTTAGAAAATAAATGGAGAAGAATGTTGACTGCAACAAGAGTCATTTCACAAAAAACATCTTCCCCAAATTATTTTACTAAAAGAGACAAGAACCCCTTGTTCTATTTAGAATGATTTATAACTGTTCCCAGCTGATCACAAAGTGTTTCTAAATTAAAAGCCATTAATTATAGCCTTATATAGATACAAAGATATGGAGGAAGTGCTTTGTAATTCCAGCTCTGCACTTCAGGTGAGAGCTTCTTAAATTACTTGGACCATTGGAGCCACCTGCTTGACTAAATGCTGGGGGCCCTGTGTTTCAGTACTCATCAGTGCATTGCAGTGTTAACATTGTTACTGATTTTTCTCATTTCTCCAGGGCAAATACTAATTAATGGATACAATTCACAGCTGATTAGCTGTAGTTTCTTCAGTAATTACATTCGCAGACTAACTGTTCAGAAGAGGATTTCTAACCCAGTTCTTATTTCACTCTAAGCTTAATTTGTTTTTTGAATTGTTTAGGTCCTTAAGATAATAACCATTTTATTTTCTTTTGTTGTTATAGGTACCACTAGATAATAAAGAATTTTAATCTTAGAAATACTCACTGATAATTGTTGCATGCCTTCAATGGATTTCTAATTCAGAGAAAAAAATAAATTTAAATAGTATTAATTATGATCTATACGAACAATAGCCTAAATACACCAAGTTCTGACATCAGTGCCTGAGTAGTACACAATAAGATCTTAAATATTGTAGCCCAAGAACAGAATGAATCCAAGGATATGTACTGGTAACTTTTAGCTTTGGCATTCCTTGTTATGGCATTTGCTTCCACAGTCTTAATAAAATGGAAAACTATGTTGTCACTGTCCACTTTCTTTTTGCTCTAATAACCCCAAAAACCCACTTGGCGATCAGAGCAGTGTTAGCTGTGGTGTGAGGAATACATGTAGATCAAAAAAATGTAGAATTTTATTCTTAGAGGTCAGCTACATTTCCGTTTTGAGGCACTGAAGTCCCTAAGATGGTAAGCTCACTAAAATAGGGCAGGGCTTGTTGCCACTTATGTGATGCTAGATATACACTTGCCTATTGTATCTTTGCTCTTAGGTATTATTCGAAAATTTACGTGTTTTTGTTTGGGTTTGAGGTTTTTTGTTACTGTAGAAAGAACAACTCTGTTTGGAACCATCTGAGTTTTTCATGTAAATCCTTCTTAGTTTGCCACTAACCAACATGAACTGTTAAGCTGAAGTACCGTGTCTTTGTGCAACAAATCCAAGCGCACAGATCCTTATGTGCCAAAACAGTAATTTGACTGTGCAGTTTTATCTGAATTTTTTAATCTCCAAAAATGGGTGACATCTGGGCTTTTTAAAAATGGATGACATGACTCGAGTATCTGCATAGCTGGGGATAACAGAGTTTTAATAGCTATGAGGCAGCCTACATATTGTGTTAAGGCCTCTGTTGCTTAACATGTGTTGTAGGTTGAAAGATTCAGCATGTTATGTACACAAATGGAATTTCATACTTTGGAATGAGGAATCTCATATCATATTCTTTCCTCCCTATGATTATCTTCTGATTTTATTGATGTCCTCTTATCAATCAGACAATTCATTAAGTACATGAGACTCCAGTTCTTTGTGTCCCTCTTCCTTTTCTCATCCCTTATCATTATAGTTTCATCCTTTTTTTTTTTTTTCATATTCTGTTTTTTCCCTCCTTTTAACTTTTGGTCTTATTTTCAAAAATGGATTTTTGAGTTTTCAGAGAAAGAGCTGTTATCAGAAGGATCACTCTGGCCCTTCCACTGCTCTAGGATGCTGCATGAACTGGAGACAGTCGGGGTCTGAAACACTTCCCTGCTAGGAACAGCCAGGCTCTGAGTACTGCAGTAGTGAGCTCAGCTGGAGCAGTGAGTTCAGCTGCTCTGAAAGCACATCAGTTTCGTGCCTGGAGAGAACACTGTATGCAAGTACAGGGTTACTCTTCCTCAGGCACTTGTGGCAGAGCTTATGCTGGTGGTGAGGTTTGTCGTGGTTGGAGTGGGGGGCAGGTCCACCAAGATCAGGCAAGATGAAGCCTTCCTGAAAAAGTTTGCTTTTCAGAACTCAGAAATGGGAGTTAAGGGAAGAATGCTTAGCACTGATGTGGCAGGGACAGCACAGGAACTTTTCTCTCATTTGATTCTCTGCAGCGTGCACGGTGCCTGGTAATAGAAACGTGGAAATGTGAAAGCCTGTGATTTCATGTTTTGATGGTAGCTGCATAACATGTGTGGTACCTGTTCCTCAAATTGAAGACTCTAGATGCTTGCCTGCTCTGGGAACACATGCAGAAATAGTTACCAGTCTACCTGCTTTTCGCAAGTGCTATTTAAAGGAATAAAGCACACTAAGTGCCAAGTAACCAAATGCAGATCATCTCTTCCTTTTCTATGCTCAGTCTGTTAAAAAAAAGTGCTCCTCTTCTTCATCAACTGTTCATACTTGAGAATTTGAAGGGAGGTATCCTGTGGCACCCGAGAGGATCCTTTCAGATCGCTCCTGTGTGAGAGGAGTTGCACCTCAGCAGGAGCAAGCGGGTGCTTGGCCCACTCCACCTGGTGGATCTCAGGGTCTCAGTGTGGTACAGTGTCTTCTGTTTGAAAATCTTGTGGTTCTCTGGGAATGCAGGAGCTCAACTGGATTGAAGGATAGACAAAGAGGGTTTGTTTGGCTTTTTAATTTTGTATAAAGAATGGGATTTAACAACGCTGCAGGTTCTTATTCTCCCCTTTATTGACCCTCATCTGTTTAAAGCCAGATCCAGATGGAATCGTAATACACCAGCTTCTTCTAGCTGCAGCAGTTCTCTGGATCAGGATCAACTGCTGAAAAATCATAATGCATGTCAGATAAGATGTAGTGGGGTTTAAATGTCTTTTCTGGAGAAGAGTCTCTTTCTAATGGACGCTTAATTTCCAAAGTCACCTCTAGGTCTGTGGTGTTGGTTTGCTACCATGACAAAGAAATTTGAAGAGAAGCACGCAGATATCTTCCATATACAGACTTGAGGATGCAGAGTATGTAATAGTAATAACATTGAATCCAATCTAGTTGACTTCAAAGAACACCTGCAAAATTACATCTTACATGTTTATTGTTTTGGTTTTGTTGTTGTTTTTCAACTCCTGTGCCAGTGATGAGGTAGAGAAGAGTTTATTGTGGCATGTATTAAAATCTAAATATTTATTTTTCTTTCAGTTTGGAAATAATAACAACTACATGAACATGGCTGAGGCAAATAACGCATTTCTTGCTGCAAATGAGGTAGATGTTTTCCTTTTCTATCTATGCTCGTATTCAGCTGTTTGCTGTGATAATTTAACAGACTTTGAATGGATGAAGAGTGAAGTGCTGAATTTCTGTGTGTTTTATGGAGCACAAAATAAAGACTTTAATGAGAAAGAAAATAACCTGACAGCTCTCCATTACTAGTCAATTTAGCTGTCCATAAGGCTGTTACTTACATAGCATGTCAATAGAAGCAAGTCTGCTTTATGTATGAAAAAAATTATAAAACAAGGAAAGCAAATAAAAAGCACAGTAGGTGTGCACTTTGAAAGCAAGCTTAGTAATAGTCACGAATAGCTAATATGCTAATTTCTGTTATAGACACAAACATTTTAATGTGGGTTCTTAATACTGATATGTTAGAAAACCAAAACCAACTTTGTTGCCTGAAGTGCATGCGCTGCCTGAAGGAAACTTCTGACCAGGAACAAGAGCAAACCCGGGGCTGGTGGAAGCTGGCTGGGTGGTGGAGGTGATGTGTTTGATCACTGCCTTTGAGAATGGAAATAGAGTAATCCTCATGTGTTTGTTACAGCCAGATAATAGACTATCAACATGCTAATACTGACCCAGCTCCAGACAGAAACAGCTTTCGCTCATCACTAGAACCCAACAGCTTTCCCTTCCGAAGGGAAAGAAGGAAAGTGTAAGATGCACAGTCTAGTAATGTGCATAGCAGCATGGAGAACGAGAACCAAGTATTTGTGTAGGGTGCATGCCATAAATGATCTTCCCAACAGGAGGAAAGGTTAGAAAACTGAGCAGCCTTTATTTCGCATGTTGTAAGGGGTGGTTCAGTGGTAGGTGTTCTTGTGCACTTTTATAAAAGGGATCTCAGAGAAAATAAGCAGAAAGGCATAACAATAATATGAAGGTTAGAATTAAGAGTCGTATTTTATGAATCATTTACACAATGGTCACCATCTCTTTTTAACCAGCAAGACTGCTTAGATAAGGGAATATTGTTTGGCACTAGCTCCAGTGTTATTCGTGATAATGAACACAAACCCCATCTGTAATGACAACATGATGTTTCTTTCTGTAGAATTCTTTCCTACATTTGAATCAAACATTGATGAAAGCTCTGCTGCCAGCAGCTGTTCAGAGACAATTTAATTCCAGCTGTGATAATTCACCGTGTCAGACATTGGCTGTTATATGTTGATACAACAGTTCTCCAGATTTGCATTTTTATCAAAAGGAACAAATGTTTTGAACATTTCAGTACAGATGGCATTTAAGCATGCACACAATTTTTTTTTACATGCGCAAGATATAAATATCTGAGAAGTTAATAACTTTAAAAAATGCGATTGGTAAGATAAATCCCACAAATGTTATACCATCTTTTGGTCATAACAGCACCTTTCTGCAATCCCAAATTGCATACTATTCAGGCTCTTTTTACAGACTGAATAGCCCAGTGATTTGGATTTAAGACTGCTTCACTGAGAAGCTTTCTTTCTTCTTAGATTATATCTATTTTATCCTCAACCTTAGGGCTGTTGTATGTTTTTAAAAAAAGATATATACTTATTTGGACAAGTAGTACTGTGAGAATTTAATTCACATTTGAAAAAAATGGTAAGATGTTCATCAATTTACTTTCTCATTTGTAGTACGCTAGAAGTATTAAGATGAATGCTTCTCTTCTAAGTAAAATATTGTATTATTATCTAGCTGTGTTATATATTTGTATAGCTGTCCTAGAGTTATTCTGTTAAATGGGGAAAAAAGATGCAGTTCTTATAACGCTGCTATCTCATAAATATGTCAAGTGAAGAGAGGTTCAAACATACTATAATAATACTGATTTCACTGAGCCCTTCTGCTTGAACAAGGAATAAAAATATGATTAAGTGCTAGTGTCCACATTAAAGCATGAACCTAAATTTGCAATTATTGCATTAAAATGCATTTAATTATAGTGTTTTTACATTAACATGAATGCAGCTTCCTTGCTATTATCTTTGGGCCTGAGCACTGCTGAGCTAGAAGCCCATTTTATTCCTGTAAATAATGCCCTAAGAGTGCAATCCTAGAGCACACTCAGGCTTAGAAGGCACACATTTGCTGTATGTTTTCTGTCTCCATGTCATGATTGCTACGACCCATTTTAAAGCACCTTAAATATTTATTGAAATAATATTTCAAGTGTTAATTACAGTGGTAATGAAAACAGCCAAATGCCACATATCAAGAATGAGTGTTTATCCGTATTGTTAATGTGATATGTTAGATTTCATTAAGCAGTAATGGGGTAGCAAATGAGTCACAAATTACAGTTGCATCTGTTACTAGACCACATTAGTGCCAAAATAACTGCAAATTCAGCCATAGGGTTATGTTCATTAGCCAACCACTTCTCCTGGCCAATCCATCCGTTGTGTTTGTGAACTACGGGGTCCTCAGGAAGACAAATTCACACCTTTTGAAATATAGCAGCGGGGAAGGCAAACGTCCCCCTAATCTGGGCCTGGCTTTCACCTCCAGAATTAAGTTACAGTCTTGCTGTTGGAGCGAGAGGGGCAGAGTCTCAGCAGAGTGACGGTGCTGCAGACTGCAGCAATCTGGGACCTCATCATTTCTGGTGTGAGACCAATAATGACAGCTGACAGGTTCTATGTGCAAGCGAAGGTTTTTCTTGTGTTTCGATTTCCATCTTCTCTCAAGCGGTTATTAATTTATATCATCATTAACAGTTTGAAGGATGACAATTTGCGGTAGTTAATGAGATCTTTCACTGAACATATCATTTTTAAATTAACTGGCATTAAGTCACTCTTTCAAACAATGTAAATAATACATAAAACAATTCCGCCCCCCCCCACTCGAATTCTGAGCTAATGCAAACAAACAAATCCCAGAGCAGCCTTGCATGTCCAGAACAAGACAAGAGTGCCTATTTTAGGACTGCCAACTGCCCGATTTGATCAAGACAGTCCTGATTTGGGTACATTTAAAATGGCCTAATTTCAGGCACTGAATTTCTATTATTAAGTAGCAGTGGACCTGAAATAATATATGAAAGTTCATTTAACTCGCAAGAAATTTGAATAAGCATAGCTCATTTGTTTCTCAAATAAAAGTCAGCAATGTTGAAGCCAGAGACAGACTCTACTTGAATAAAGATTATCTTTGACAGACACATGCACACGTATAAACACGCACAAACCCTGAAGATAACTGGCAGTAAATGTTTTGCTCAAGGCATCTTAACAGGTGTTTAGTTCTTAACAAACCTACTGTTCAAACAAAGCTGGCTTGCTTCAGAAAGCACTGGAAGCTTTTATACGTGTTTCTCCTCCAAATTACAGCCCTTGTTTAAAAGGGTGCATTGTACTTTTGGAATGGAAAAGAGAAGAAATAAAGGCCAAAATTATAATATTTCATGTTTATTAGTGGAAACTAAAGATGTGAAATAGTCAGTGTTAAATTAATGCTGTGTGTGCTACAAAATTGTCAGTATTTTATGAAGCATGAGAGTAATGTTAGCTGTGCTATTTTACTAACATATCAATAAAGTGGCAATTTGTTATACAGCCAAATCCAATGTAGCTGATATTCAAACTAACAACAAAGACAGATGTTGCTAATTAAGTACACATTAAAAAACTGTTAATACTGATACTCCATTAAAGCCATATGATAATGAGACTTAAATCTTTAATCAGAATGATCCACAAATCCCTTCAGTATGGGAAATTTAAAAATTTTTTTGCATATGGAGTTTGCATTTGAGAGTGAAAAAAGATGAGAATGGCAGGTCGGGAGGTGGTTTCCGAGAGCAACGCGTCCTAATGTGGTTTGCCTTGTCCTGTCGTTTTCTAGCAGACGTTCCATACGCCGAGCCTCGGGGACGAGGAGTTCGAAATCCCACCCATTACTCCCCCGCCCGAGTCTGAACCTGCGCTGGGGATGGCAGATATCCTACTGCCCTTTCAGGGCCTTGGTGACCAACTACCTGCTCAAGGAAATGAGTTCACACCTCAGTTTCCCCCCCAGAGCTTGGATCTTCCCTCTATTACGATATCCCGAAATCTTGTGGAGCAAGATGGTATCATCCACAGCAATGGATTGCATATGGTAGGTCCAGCTCTTTGTGTGTTTCCATTGCCTAATATTGTCTGTCAAACCATGGTGATGTAGATTTGTGCCATCTCTCAGTTTTAATTGACTTCTCAGAAGACCTATGTGGTTTCTTGGTCTTGAAGCCTCACCAAGCATTTGCCAATGTTCTGCATCGGGCACAGACGTGTTCTGTGTGAATGATGGCATGTGTTGTCGTTACACAGCAAACAATGGTATGCCGTTACTCAGTTTCCTAAAGCAGCTGGCAAATGGTTAAGGGTTTAATATTGGTGAATTCGGGAAGATAAATGTGGTTGTTAGTGTCCAGTGCAGTGCTATACTGTGTGTGAACAGATCTCTTGTGAAGAACCAGTCAGACTTTATAAACCAAGAGTTTTAATTTGGGGAATAGACTTGGAAGTCCTTGTCCATTGTCATCATGAGCATCTCAAGTGCTGCTGAAGTTCAAAAATGTGTTTTACAGTTGACACTGGCATCAAGAGTTGAAAGACCATTGTAGTGGCCAGGGTGAACTATAGAGTTTAGAAGAAATTGCTTGTCTGTGTTTCAAGTATGAGACCCACATCTGACAGCCATCAGGATATTTTGAATGTGCAGTATTGAGACGAGATCAGAAAAGGATCCAGACGCAGTATGGCAGCAGTAAAAAACCCCATGCGTTTCTCTATATTTTATATATTCCATGGGCTAAATCTTTATAAATGGAAAATGATTTTATTTTGAACTCACAGTAGAAGTGGTAGGGATATATTGCCACACGCAGAAATACAGGGTCATAAAAAGTCTTTGTTCTGTCCAGTGCTCCTGTTGTCTACAGAGTTTGGGGCAGGTGTTGGGCCTGTGCTTCTCTTCCTGGGCTGTTTCTGAGCCCTCTGGAATGGGGAGGGATGATCCAGTCTGGGTGTGGCGAGGGGCTGATCAGAATCATTAGGCTAATTCCAGTGATCATCTTGTTAATTAGAACAAACAAACCAAGAATCATAGAATCATTAGGATTGGAAAAGACCTCTAAGGTCATCAGGCCGCATCCAGGCTGTATGGGTATGGTGTCTTCTCCAGAATCTATACATGCTGCGCAGTGGTGATCTCAGCTGGAGGGTACATGGGGTGGATTCCACTTTCTTCTATTTCCTTTTCAGCTTTGGGGATCTCCCTGCTCGGGTTTCTCCAAGTTTTGTGCCATAACGTCGATACTCACAGTGATGAGACAGCTGTGAGTCAGTTTATCATACTTAAACTCAGTGGTTACAATTACAATTAGTTCCTGTGTTGCGTATTTAAGAGTGAATGTGTAGCTTGAACAGATATTTTACATCAACTCTATTTTCTTCTGATTAGCTGTTTTATGTAGGACCTTTTGCTAAACTCGATGTCGTGAAAATACAGATTTACTGCTGGACTGTAATAAAGGTCATCATGTTATGATTTCATGTAAATCTTTTTTTCTTTTTCATTATTCTGGCAAGAGAATATTAATTAAAGATTTACAATTCAACATGCAGCAAATATTTCTCTGGAATTCCACAGGCTGCTGGCTTCATTGCAAATGTTAATATTTCCTCAGAGGTCATGAAGAGTAGCTAGCACTAATACAGAATTAAGCACAAACTGCTTGCTATTTAGGAGGCACAGAATTCATTAATTCTATAGATACAAAGCAGGGACTGCCTACAACAAGCCTGGAAGGATATGGTACTTCTTTTCAGATCCCATTTTACATGGAATTTTGGATGCACTGAACATGTTGGGTGGCTACTAAGGAAAGATCAGACTAATAAAACCTGAGATTCAGGAACGTTATGCCTGGAAACTAAAGTAATGGAGCGTGTGTGGACTGAATATAATGGGACTTGTTCAGTAGCGTGTAGTGCCTAACACGGGCTGGATCAGCATCGTGCTACATGTATAGGTACCTCATCGGCGTTACCAAGTGATTTGTAACCTGACCCAGTTGTGCCTTTTAATTTTGCACCCTTTTTAATTGAATGTCATTCTTCAATGAGTAAATGGAAAAAACAGTTCCATCCAGAAAAGGCCTCCTGGTTAGATACCTCTTTTCTCACCTGTTCTTGCCCTGGATGAGAGGGTTTGCATCTTTCTCCCTTTTTTTCCTCTTCTAGACTATGCAATATGGAAATGAATGGCATAGTTTACATGGACTTCAGTGGTAAGAAGTTGTTCCAGTATAGGTCAAAGAGAAGACCTAGAGAAGCTCATGCCTTATCCCAGTAGTCCAGTGGTATTTCTAGGGTGATTGGCAGTTCAGAGCTGTGGACTGGGAACTTGTGTGTTGTTTGCAAGACCAAAAATTTGTCAGAATTGCGTCATTTGATACGGAGGAGCCACACAGGGAGGCTTGTGTCAGACACTTGCTCACAACTGCTTGAGTTGTTTTATCCTGTGGGATGAAGCAGATCCTGCCACTGCATTTTAGTCAGTAGTCTTTTTCATGCCACCTCATAAATGCTGGTTACCTTCAGGAAGTTTAAAAACGTTAACAGAGGGTCCATGCATAGGTTTCCCCTGAACTCACGTTGCTCTCTAGTACTCAAATTTTCCAGCAGTTAATCTGTATTTCAAAAATAGAAAATGAAAACATTATATCATATTTTATGTGAAAAATGTGCACTTTATTAAACTGGTAAATATTTATTAATAATATTAGAATTCATCTTTAAATTAGACATTTCATGAATTACCTTGCCTTGGAGCTATAAAAACTTTATTGCAGCAATAAAAAAATGTAAAGGAGGCATTTTGACTATGAAATTTCATTTCATGGTCAATTGAATTTACTATATCTGAAAGAACTGAAGATGGGGTTGTAAAATAATTATGATGTTCGTATACACTTATGGAACAATGTTTTTATCCAGCAATACTACGATAGTCTTATTTAAAGGCTGTATTAATAGTGTATTGCTAATCACTAAAGCTTCTTTAGCTGAATACAAACTTAAATTATTTTAATATGAGCTGCATTGAGTTTATTATATATGTCTTGTGAAGCATTAGAGAGCTTTACTGTAAGCAATATTTAGTTTAGATAAATGTAGTCCTGCCCTGTTGAAAAGTCCAGTAGAAGAATTTCACCTTGAAGAAATGTCATGAGATTTTAAATCACAAATGCTGAAAAAATAAAATGGGCTTGGACAGAATTATGATTAATACTGTGTGTCTTTGGCTTTTTTCTGTGTACTACCTGACATGTTCACCTATAAACTTGAATGCAGAATCGCCAGAGGCATGGTTAAAAATAGGTTATGTCAAGGTTTTCCTATGTCTCCCTTAGGGTATGGAGTTGGCTAGCTACCTCATAATACTTCTGCAAGTATCTCACATATTTCCCACAGGAAGACCAAAAAAAACCCAACCAAACAAAAAATATGATTCTATTTTTAACATATTCTTTGTGTATTGCTATATTGAAAAAATAATTCACAGTGCAAGAAAGATATGTATTGTTAACATAAATCTAGCCTGGCAATTATTAAAAGACTGTATTGATGTATTAACAATTGTTCATGCTATTAAGATATACATAGTGAAAATTTTCCATTATTATTGGCAATAAGCACAACGCATTTATCTTACTTAACAGCGTTTTTCTACATTTAAAAACAGACCTCAGCAACAAAAAAGAGGAGATAAAATGGAGGTAGTTTGATTAATTTTAATATTTTAATAATATGCAAATAAAATTCTGATTTTCAGAAATGAGTTGCTGAAAAGTGGAGTGCTGATGTACGTTTGACTTCAAAGAATGTGGGGATTTACATGATGCAAATATTATCCCTATAAATACTTGAATATAAATAATCAAGTCAAAGGAAATCAACAGCGATATCCTCATTAAAAATCACCCTCCAATATTTTACATTAATGCTCGGTTTTTTGTTGAGCTGCCTATAGAAAAATTATTTTAATCTGCAAACTGTGGCAATTCTATAAAACTACAACTTGTGCTCCTGAGGGTTCCTTTTTTTAACACCTCTCTATAATCTGCCCAGCCTGCTGAGTAGCATTGACATCAGTAGTACATCAATTTCAGAAAGTGGATTATTTTTACTAGACAGCTATTGTGACATATTGGGTCAGTCATAAATGAAAGATATTCATGCAAGCATGCAATACTTGTAATGAAGTCTCACTCTGACCTTCTGTATGATTGATTCTGTAATTTAGTTTTCTCAGGCAGTGCCTGAAATGAAATGAAATCATGTTGAACAAGTTTTGAATACCCACAGTGCACCAGGAGAAGAAAAATCTGCAGCCCCAGAGGCTTGAGAGAGAGCAGCTGAACGATTTATCTCCATGCTATTATAGCCTTTGCCAGCATTCAACATTTCTTTTTTTTTTTTTCTTATTTGGCTTAAGTACTTAATTCTGCAGGTAGCTGTAAATGGGAAAATAAAATGCTGTTCAGATTTAAAATGACAGGACAGGAGTATGTGCAGGGGACTGATAAAATATCTTGAATAGAACTGACCTTTCATGTAGCTGAAAGTTACTGGGGGATTCATCCTCATAATTACCATATAGATTATTTTTATTTCTTTCCTGCAATGAAACATTTCAGAGAGCAGTAGTGCTGATTGAATGAAAATTGAACTTGTTAACATTCTTTTCAGCTTAGCCTGTTGTACATAACAGAAGGTTAGCTTTGATGAATTTCAAAATTCTCTTTCTGATATCTAAGAAACAGACAGTAAAATAATTGTCTCTTTTCAGTCCCGTTTTTTCCTTTTATTCAAAAAAATACAGATGTTACAAAACCAGACTGATAATTTTACATATACTGCTCCCTATATTACTAATGCTAGAAAAAATGTGTTTCCTGTTTGATGAAGATTTGAGCCTGTTTATATTTTATAATTGTTGCAGTCAGTGCATTCAGGATTCTGCACAGATAAGGCTAATTCATAGTGGAATACACTCATCTTTAATTACATTGCTGCTTTGGAGTGGCACTGTGCTCAAATCAAAGACATGAT